AGTTTTCCTTTCTCTTTGGAGTGTTACAAGCTGTTCGTGCATAGATAAGATCCCTAAAGTTGCAAAGACTAAAGTCTCAAACCCAAAGAGATATTCTTTATAAAAGTTAAGACTCATCCACGTCCTCCTAAAACGCCTCGTTTAAACACACCCCCACATGTCTATGTCACTGTGTGGGAAGATTTGCATAACACCGCCCAAATGTTTACGCAAAGAAAGAAGGTGTGACTTTTATTCTCGCTGTAGTATTGTTGCTGCCGCCGCCATGTCGTGGAGACGCTGTGTGTTTCGTTGTGAAAGCGAAACTACTTTGTTTGGCCTTCCAAAAGAGGACACAACTAGAAATCAGTGGTTAATTTGTATTTACAACACTGCTCCAGAACAGTTCAAACCAAATATTCAGATGTGTGCAATGCATTTTACGGAGGACGAGGACTGTTTCCTGGGAGAGTAGCCTACAATGCCGGTGTTCCGGTGAATTCAGTTCCCCTGTTTCCCCTTCGGCGCGCATGCTGACCCTATACAGTCTATGATGCTGACAAATAATGCTGATTTGCCGCTGATGATTCAAACGTGAGTTTTGAGCAGTGTAGAGTAGCACTTGTTGTTTGTCGTTTCTCCGATCACAAATGCAGACATGGTTTTATGTTTACACGGCGCGATGCAACGCAACACATAAAAAGACAGTATAAGTCATTATAATCAGTAATTGTGTTCCCACTGGATGCAACAAATGCCTAGTTTATAATGGGTTTTATTGGTTTTGTCTCGTTGCACTGGGACACGGCATCACAGTATGGTAAGCGGTGTAACATTTCCGTCACATGCTTGAGGAATTCGGCCAATCACAACGCACTAGATAGCTGGCCAATCAGAGCACACCTCGCTTTTCAGAACGATGAGCTTTGTAAAAATTGACACGTTTCAGAAAGGCGGGGCATAGAGGAGAAACAATAATGTTGTTAATAATATCTAAAATCATCCCATCCCAGTCATCATCTTTCTACCGTACACAGGGCCGCAAACAGTAACTGCTGGTCGAACGACTGCATCCACACCATCTCTCCCTAGCCGTGCGTAATCAAAACGATGAATGTTCCTCGATGCGCATAATTTAGAAATGGAGGAAATACTGGAGCCTCTCCCGAGTCCATATTGCTGCTGTAGGACCTCTTGTACTTGTTTGCATGTGTATCCCAGCTCCTCTACTAACCTGCGGATTACACTTTTTTGCACACTCCACTCACACATCTTCCAGAAAATCTGTGGTTGTTAACGTGCAGTCACACAGTTAATGGAGGTCTGATGATAAATTATCGCATGGTCAGACATGCCAATGCACAGGCATAGGGCCTATACATACAGCGCTCTGGGTAAATACATCCACACCCCCACCCCCACCCCCCCGCTCCGCCACTGGTACGGTCCAACCGGGAGCGCAAAACAGAGAAGTAGAAAATCAGAATAATGAGTAATTTTTTATGTTAGTTTAAAAATCAGATTCGGGCGCAACCCAAACTCGTAAAATTGAAAATTAAAATGAGAGACAATTACCCGTTTGTAAATTGCTCCAAAGAAATTGAAAATGAAAGTTTGAAGCCAACTTTTGATTCATTTTGATGGTGCGAATTGAACAAAGAACTGCAAAGGGTTACACGGGCCGTACACCATAGTTCATATCGTGAAGATTTTGATGTAATTTCTGACCTTGCATGATGCTTAAGTTACGCCAATGCCAGACTAGCTTGTTTGTTGTTAAGCTTAATGGAGGGTTAAGTTAGGCAGGCTGTACTGAGATGTTTTAATAGTGGCAGTGTCACCACTGAGGAATTCAAGGTCAGGCTGTGGTGGATGTGCACAGTGTGCATTAACTGTGGTCAAACATTTTGGTCACTTGTGGTGATGTCAAAGAGTGGGAGAGGCTCGAAAACAATGCTGTGAAGGATAGACTTACAATCTTTGCAATAGCACGCACTGTACAGTAAAGCCCTAGAGCAGGGCTGTCCAAACTCGGTCCTGGAGGGCCGGTGTCCTGCAGAGTTTAGCTCCAACCCCAATTAAACACACCTGAACCAGCTAATCAAGCTCTTATAGGCATACTAGAAACTTACCAGCAGGTGTGTTGAGGCAAGTTGGAGCTAAACTCTGCAGGACACCGGCCCTCCAGGACCGAGTTTGGGCACCCCTGCCCTAAATCATGAAATTTTCAGCAAATCTTTCAGAAACGTTTTATGGAGTTTTTGTCTACTGAGTGTTTTTGGAAAGACGTTTTGTCAGCTGAACAATCGGTACACTCTTAAAAATAAAGGTGCTTCAATAGGTTCTTCAAGCGATGCCATAGAAGAACCATTTTTGGTTCCACAAAGAACCATTCAGTCAAAGGTTCTTTAAAGAACCTTTGACTGAATGGTTCTTTGTGGAACCAAAAATGGTTCTTCTATGGCATCGTGAAGCACCTTTATTTTTAAGAGTGTATGTTGATAAACAACATTAAAATCCATTGAACACCTTGTACCTCTATTCCAGCCTCATTCTAGTCAAAAATTAAATAATGTGCTACCCTGACTAAGGTTTATTAGAACTTAAATGCTTGTTGGGCACAACAAGCTTAATTAAAATATAAAATATCTGAAACTAATATATATATAAAATTATTGCAGAAAAGGACACTTGTCTAGTCAGAGGCCAAATAGGCAGGTGCTTGAGCACCACTTGAGGTCTATCTGTGTATGTACCTTTTGCCAAGTTACTAGTTAGTAGAATGTCTAAAGTGGACTATGGAAATAAAGTGCAACCAAACGTTCTAACAGGGCACACCACGAGCTATTTTAATGGACATTTATCTCACCTTGTGGGTTACGCAATACTTTCATGGTATCACGCATGTATAGTCAGTGTGATCAAATGTTGACTGACAATATGTTGTTGAGATATGAGAGCTTCATTTTGTCAGTCAATTCCTCATCATGAATAGTTATTCCACTTCTTATCTTCTTATGAACACCATTTATGAAATCTTTAAAAGTAGCCCCAGTGTCCTCAGTCAAAATTTCTTTCAACAGTATGGCTTGGATTTTTTTTATTAATTTTTTTTTATTAATGAAAATAGAACAAATAACAAACAGAGCTTAGCATAAGACAGTCAGTGCCATACAAAGTGTGACATTAATTAGTAACGGGAACTGAAAATAATGTCATAATATTTTAAACATGTTAATGACTTTTTGTTTTTTAACAATTTCAGAGAAGACATAAAACAATCAAATTCCACTAAAAATACCTTAAATATTGGGGATGAATTTAAGCATTTTTGTTTATGTATATAAAATTTTGCCAGCAATATGAATAAATTAACAATGTATTCAAGACCTTTGTTAACATTGTTTTCATAGTGCACAATAATATCCTTTAAAGAAAAAACGTATTTATCCTTTACTAGATAAAAAATAAATTCTGCCAATTCCTTCCCAAAATTTTGGGTAATTTTACAATCAAAAAAATAAATGTGATAACACCTCTTTCTCATTTTTACAAAGGAACATAAATCATCAATATCAGAGTATCTTGAAATTATTGTTTTAACAGGGTAGATGGTATGCAACATTTTTAAATGTATTTCTTTAGTTTTGTTATTGATACAATATTTAAAGGGAATTAACCAAGCAGTCTTCCAATTAACATTATCAATAATAGAGTTCCAAAAGAATTGTCCTCTAGGTGTTATTTTATTTTGTTTTTGGAAAACAGTACAAATATGTTTGTTATTGCATTTTTTATCAATCAGTTCAAGACCGTTTAAAATAAATTTTGGTTTTGTCATTATTGTAGAGTTATAGTGAATATGACTTTTAACAAGATGAACAAGAGTAGGAGGAATAGCTTTAAAGGGGCCATATGATGCTTTTTTATAATCGCCATAATTGCCATAATCGCGAGCTTCATCTTTCAAAATAAATGCAAAGACAGAGCCCGAAAGCGGCAGACACGGTGATGAAGCTGGTATGTGTGCACTACACAAGCCACGGCTAAGACAGCTGACTCCACTGTGATCTCTCTCTCTCTCTCTCTCTCACACACACACACACACACACACACACGATGCGCAAAACTCCGCATTTGAACAGTCAATCGCAAATACTTAAACTAATAACAAAACAGTAGCTGATTCAGAAGCACCAGATTGTCATAGCAAAGTCAGAATGACCTCCTCTCCTAGGTTCACGAAACAGTCATCCATAAAATGCATTGCTGTTCTGTTGTAAGTAATCTTAAAGATTCCTAAATGCATCAACTTTCGGAAGGCCAAATAAAGTGCTTTTGCTTTCGTCTAGAAACACACAGTGTCTCCCTGACATGCTGCTTCAACACTTAACTGCGGTTACTGAAACCGCGCATTCTTTCTTTGTGTGAACATTTGGGCAGCATTATGCAAATATTTCCACATAGTGAGGTAGATATGTGGGGGCGTGTTAGAACGAGCCGTTTTAGGGGGGCGTGGCAGAGTCTTAACTTTGATAAAGAATATCTCTTTGGTTTTGAGACTTTAGTCTTTGCAACTTCAGGGATCTTATCTATGCACAATCAGCTTGTAACACTCCAAAGAGAAAGGAAACCTTGAAATCGCATCATATGACCCCTTTAATGACCGAACTAAAATTCCTTAAAATGCACAGGGAAACCGTGAATTCGCATGAATTGTTCATAAGTGAAAAGATTCCCATAATGATCAAACATATTCATAAGATGATTAATATCCCCGTTAAACTAATTCCTTAAAAATAAAGATTTATTGGCAGTCGTTATATTGGCAATATTCCAAATGAAGGAGGTGTGAGGAGAGAAATTGTGTGAGTAGCAAATTTTCCAGGCTAAAAGCACTTGCTGGTGGAATTTGGACAATTTAAGAGGGAGTTTAGAAATATTAAAGTCACAAGTTAACAGGAATTCTAAGTCACCTATTTGGTTAAAGAGACTGTGTGGAACAGTATGGTTTGGATTTCTTACGCAACAACGATAGTCGTGACGTCACGCTCCAGTCGGAAGTTCCAGCGCAGCAGCAGTGAACGCCGAGTTTAACCCGCTTTAGTGTAAACAGCCAGAACATGGACGACGACGTGTTAACGACTTTGAAGATTTTAATTATCGGTGAGAGTGGTGTGGGTAAATCAAGGTGAGGTCAGAAACATTTTTTTCCCCCCGCTTTCTCGTACAGTAGGTTGAGTTGTTAATGTTAGCGTTAGCCTCGTCTGAACGAGCAACAAGCTCCGTTAAACTAATGCTAACTGCCGCCTGTGCCCAGACTCTGCCAATTCTATTCAGCCATTAAACTTAACTTTTAAATGTTGTTTTGGCCTCAAGAACAAAAGGAAATGCGCTATATTGTGCCCCTCGTGGTATTCGTTTTTTAGCCTTCAGATGTGTTGACTAATAAGCAAGCACCGTCGATTGTGAAGCCATGGACATATATTTAGTTTGACTTGTTTTTAATATTCTGGTAATGAATACTTCGTATACTGTTACTGTTGTCGCATACCTTTAAATATTTAATAAGAGCAGCAGCAGTGTTAGCTGGCAGCTGTTTCTGTAGCAGTCATGCTATCTGCTCATTTTGTGGTGTGGCAGTTAACATACCTCTAAATATACAGGCCTTCGAGTTTATAGAGGGGTCAAATACTTAACATGAACCACAGATTTAAACATGATGTGCTTTACACACGTCTACTTATGATAGATAATTAGTTTTAAAGTAATTTTTCAAAGCCCTTCCTCATCCACTCAGGTAAGTGAAAGTGTTCTTCATAATTGAATTTGTTCACTGTTTACAGAAAAGAAAGTGTAATTGTATAAGAAAACAATAATGTGAGGAAACATGACTTAATTATTTATCCTTTTAATGCTGATTTTCTTATATTTATCCGTTATGTTCCCAGTTTGCTCCTGCGCTTCACAGATGACACATTTGACCCAGAATTAGCTGCGACCATTGGTGAGTCATGTATTTGTGAATATTACAGGTAGTAAGTAACCAGACATTATTAAAGGGGTCATATGAAGCGATTTCAAGCTTTCCTTTCTCTTGGGAGTGTTACAAGCTGATTGTGCATAGATAAGATTCCTGAAACTGCAAAGACTAAAGTCTCAAATCCAAAGAGATATTCTTTATCAAAGTTAAGACTCTGCCACGCCCCCCTAAAACAGCTTGTTCTAACACGCCCCCACATATCTACCTCACTATGTGGAAATATTAGCATAATGCTGCCCAAATGTTCACGCAAAGAAAGAAGGCGTGGTTTCAGTAACCGTAGTTAGTGTTGAAGCAGTCATGTCAGGGAGTGGAGTTAGCTGTCTTAACCGTGGCTTGTGTACTGCAAACACATACCAGCTTCATCACTGTGTCTGTCACGCGACTCTGTTCCCCTTTCGGGCTCTGTCTTTACATTTATTTTGAAAGATGAAGCTCGCGATTATGGTAAGGGGCGTTACATTTCCGATGAGTGCTTGCGGTGTTCGGCCGATCACAATGCACTGGGTCAGCTGGCCAATCAGAGCAGACTGCGCTTGTCAGAAGGAGGGACTTTGTAGAAAACGAAGCGTTTGAGAGAGGCGGGGCATAGAGGACCTACAATAATGTGCAGTATTTGAAAAATAATGTGTTTTTTGAACATTAAAGCATGTCAACATATTCTGTTACACCAAATACACAAAATAATGATCTTTAAAAAAGCATCATATGACCCCTATAACAGGTCTGTAATCAGTTAACGCTCAAAACTAATGAGCTTATAAACTAAACCTTACTGAGCAATTTAGTCTTGTGGTTAAAGTATTTAGTTTTACCTCCTTAACAAATATACTTTAAAGGGTTAGTTCACCCAAAAATGAAAATTCTGTCATTAATTACTTACCCTCGTGTTGTTCGAAACCCGTAAGACCTTCGTTCATCTTCGGGAACACAATTTAAGATTTAAAAACACAATTTTACTGCGTCACTTGTGGACGCGCGTTCACGACAGTATCATGACGTCATTATGCCGGATCATTACACCACCACACGCTCGCGTTATGATACTGTCGTGAACGCGCGTCCAAAGTAACGCAGTAGAGACGAAAATGTGGAATAAATTCGTTATTTTTGTTTTCTTTGTGCAAAAAAGTGTTCTCGTAGCTTTGTAACTTTACAGTTGAACCACTGATGTCACACGGACTATTTTGTCGATCATCTTGGTACTTTTCTGGACCTTGAACGTGGTAGTTACCTTGCTGTCTATGGGAGGGTCAGAGAGCCCTCATATTTCATCAAAAATATCTTAAATTATGGTCCGAAGATGAACGAAGGTCTTACGGGTTTCGAACAACACGAGGGCGAGTAATTACTGACAGAATTTTCATTTTTGGGTGAACTAACCCTTTAACCCTTGTGTATTTTAAAGTATGCTCCATTTATGTATTTTTCATTGGTTATTTAGGTGTGGACTTTAAAGTGAAAACTATTGCAATAGATGGCAACAGAGCAAAGCTGGCCATATGGGTAAGTGCTTTTATCTTTTATAAATGCTCAACAACACTCAATACAGGGATGTAGTGGCTTAAATGCCTGAATTATTTGTGGATTATTATCACGTTCACTACTCTTACAATTGTCTTGTTCCACTAGATGTCACTATCGCGCTTTGTAGAATGAAGTGACGTAGTCTGTTTAGAAAGCTGCTGAAATCCTCATGAACTTGTTTTAGGACACGGCCGGTCAGGAGAGGTTCAGAACTCTAACACCAAGCTACTACAGAGGAGCCCAGGGTGTCATTTTGGGTTAGTGTTTTTGCATATTTTATTTAATTATTTATTACACAGTTCTTTGGAATATTTGATTCGGATTGGTCAGTCGGGAATTCTGCAAACATATTTTGTATACTGACCAATAAATTTTATGATTGTCTCAGACACAGCTACATAGCTGTGCGAGTTTCATGTCTCTCAGATCGTTCTGAGGTGTATCTATTTATTTTATGTCTTTGTTAATTTAGTAATTAGTCATGTAATATGTAGAATAATGTACAGTTGGCCAAATGTTGTCACAAGACAAGACTGTGCATTATATTAATTCTCAAATTCAATCAAAGTCTTGTACTGGTTGTTGAATGTAAAATTTAAATCGTTTTCTCTCTTTTTTTTTTTTTTTTAGTATATGATGTTACAAAGCGGGACACATTCACAAAGCTGGAGAACTGGCTTAATGAGCTGGAGACATACTGTACACGCAATGACCTGGTTAAAATGCTAGTTGGGAACAAAATTGACAAGGTTCGTTTGATTAATGTTATTCTGAATGTAAAGTTGCTTGATACAATGTTTTGGTGTATAACTGTGAAGGTTGTTTTATATTAACAGTGTCTTGAAGGGATGGTTCACCCAAAAATGAACCCCCAAAATGAATATACTCACCCTTATTAATGGCTTTCTTTTGTAGAGCACAGAAAAGGTATTTTAAAAATTGTTGCATTTTTACTTTCATATGAAATGCCCCTTTAAGTAGACAAAATGATGGATAGCCCTACCCAGAGGAAAGTCGCCTTGGTCCCAAATCTTGCTCTGTATATCTGAACTTTAAACATTAGCTGTGATGTCACTTTGATTAATGCAGAAATATTACGGAAGATAAGGTGCTATTAAATTTGAAATAAAAGATGGTGGATTTTTTGTTGTTGAATTCTAGGCAAATAAGGACTATGGAAGAACATTCAGGGCAATGTTCAGAAATTTGGCAGTCACTGTGCATTCGCTAAAACGCAGACAGTCATGCATGATTTGCAAATGTGTTTGGATTGTCACAATTTGTGTCCACATATGGAAACAAAATTTGCTTTTTGAAAATTGTCCTGAATATTCTTCCATAAAGGACCAATGTTCGGTCTAGAATTTCAAGTCTAGCCTCAATTTCAGAAAACTCGAATCTTAAAGTAATGATGAAAGGGGTTCAGTCAGGGGCATAGAATTAGATAGGGACATGTCCCTACCAATATCCAGCGACTACCCTATTGTCCCTAGCAATAATTTTAATCAAATGATTAATTATGTATGTTTTTGTAATTTGCGACACATCTGAAGTAGGCTATGTTATACCATTGATATCACATAAGAAGTTAAAGTAGCCTAAATATGTTACAAAACTGTGCGCTTTCAAGGACGCACATTTAATACATGGGCGGAACTTAAAGGTAGTCGCCTGTGCTGTTATGTCCCGTTATGTCCCAATGCCAAAAGCAAAACTACGTCCTTGGCTTCAGTTAAATGTTCAGTTTGGCTTTGAATTCTTTAAATCTTACTAACAGATTATTGATAATTATATCTTGATGCTGATTTGTCAGTCAGTCCAGACATGCAAAAATACATAATACTGTATGCCAGGGTCTATTTGGCTCACTTCATGAGTTTCTTTCTTTCTTTGCTCTTTATTTGATAAAATTTTTATTTATTTATTTATTTAAGTAAAAAAGGAATACAACTGAACTCAAACAAAACATTCAGAATTTTTCACACACAAAAAAAAAGTTAAATCAAAATGTTTACTTTCCTGAAGAAAATAAAAAGCACTAAGATTTTAAATGGTCCTCTCTGGTTTATTGAAAAAGATGGAAACAAGTAAGAAACAGTTGTTTACAAATGATTTAAATTGAAACATGAGCTGCTGTATTTTTGGTAAGGAAAGTTGCCAAAAAAGTAATGGAATGTGATCTTAAAGACAAGTGTTTAAGTTGTGTGCTGACATTGGGAGTTTTCTAGAACTAACTTTTTTAGTTGCTTTGTCTTGGGGTGACTCAGCATTATAATTAGAAAGACCTATCTGTTTCAGGACAACCGTGAAGTAGACCGGAACGAAGGCTTGAAGTTTGCACGAAAACACTCTATGCTTTTTATTGGTATGTTTCCTCTTTATCATCATTCATTTTGTTTTCAGTTAGATTGGATGTTTTGGATAGTCCTACCTGGATCTTAAGCTAATTAGTTTTTTTGGCAGTAAAGTCTCCTGTTAGCCATCAGAGGATGCGAATGAGCATGATGGTCTGCCTGTGTCCAGACAATCCTGTCTTGCCAGGATTTTCTTTATATTTTCCTGGCTCTTTGAAATAAAGTTACAGATGTCAGAATGGTTTTCAGTTATAAAATGTGAATTTGTATTGAACATGTGCTTTTATAATAGCAATACATTTGCTTTTGTTCCTGAAGAGATCACGGGAACATCAGAACAATAAGTCTTTTTCTGCCATAGCACTACTCTGTGATTGCTTATTTCTGATATAATTAATATTTTTTTTATATTTGTATAGTACCCCCCCCCCCCCACCCCCGTTTGATCTCCGGGTGCCAAAAATGACAAAA